AAAAAAAAAAAAAAAAAAAAAAAAAAAGGAAAAAAACCGTTTTTACCATACTTTCCTGCTAGTGGATAAGCTGACCTTAGGGAAGCCATGCCACAGGGGTGGAAGGGAGAGAGGGAAAGGAAGCAAGAGTTGGAGGACTAACAACTAGGATTACAAGACGGTATTATGGGCTTTGTGCACTGAAACAGGGAAAGGGGAGCTGGAAAATAATCCAGTAATTTGGGGCCAAATCTTGGCTCTGACATTCACCAACATTGGGTAAATTGCTAAATTTCTCCCCTTTTGAGTTTCTGACCTTATAAAGTTGTTGCAAGATAAAATGAGACCACAAATGGAAAGTACCTATTAGTGCTAAGTGAATAATAAGCCTCTCTTGGGGGGAAAAATGTCTGCTTGTAACTGGGTCAAAAAAAAAATACCACCTGTGGCATAGTGGTGATTTGATCTTTTGAGTTCTGTGGCTAATCCTTGGATAATTAAAAGGTTGAATTCTGTATTATGCTTGTGCTATTAAGCATGCATGTGCACATGAGTGCACACCCACCCACCCTCATACACCCTCCCAACCACACACACAAACACAAACACACACGCACACAGAGATGCGCATGCGTGTACACGGGCACAAAATATAAACCAGTGAGGTACAATGTGTCCCTGAACTCAGATCACTAAGAAGTTAACACAAAACAATAGCATGAAGCCCATTTTATCTATCAAAAAACTCATCTGAGGGTTAAAAAAATAATGATAACTACAGTTATTATGAAGCTGAAAATTAATTTTTGTGTATAACATTCCACTTTCAGATCCCTGGAAGAACGAAGCTAGACTCAAGGTATAAGAGTATGTAGTATTTCCAGAAATTATTAATTAAAACAGTTAATAAGCCAAATAAAGGGCTTCTTAGTTTGTTTTGTCTTTTTTTAAAGAAATCATTCCTAGAAATAAAAACTTAATTACATGTGACCTCACTTAGAATTACTGAAACATAGGTATTTTCACAAAGAAAAATAAAATTTACTTTTTTAAATGACCAGTTGTCAGTTTGGAAAGTCTTCTTACCTGTTTGATTTGATGAAGGCGGCTGATGGAACCATGAAAGGGAGAAGGTGGCAACAACTGAAATTTAAAATGTAGATGTCAAGCTTGCTTTAACGTTTCTGATTAATTATATCTAAACATTAAGTCATTGTTGAATTACCTAAAATAATTATTTAGTGTCTTACGCATGCCAGCAACAGTATCAGTTAGGTTCAAAGTTAAAAAAAGATCCAACTGAATCTTGACTGAAAATTATACTAATCAAAAATCAACACTTTCCAAAACAGAAGAAAATGACTGTTATCATAATAAATACAGAGCAGAACATCAATAGAGGATTTATTTTGTCGCTACCTTTTCTTTCCTAAGGCACTAGATCTTAAAATTGCCTCATTTTTCTTGCCAGTTTTAGCCCATCATTAAAGCTTAGTGAGAGGTATTACCCAGAACAAAAAGCTGAAACAGTCATTGAATCAGTAGCTAGCTTGCCAAGCATACTGCCCAAAAATCATAAACAGAATAACTACATCAAATATCCTGGAATCTAGCTGGGAAACCAAACTTTCATAATATGGAATGACTTTAAGGTAATCACTTTCAAGTCATTTAGCATATTTTACTCTTGGTTGCTCAGATACTTCTTGTCTAGGTCCTTTCTCTTTTTTGGGGCTACTTTTTCCTTTTCAGTCTTCTCTCAAAGCTTATGAGGACCCACACAAGAGGGGAATGAAAGAATGGAGGCATTTAAAGCTAAGTGTGAAAATGAGGCTTGAAAATTATCTTCAGAATTCATTTGTAAACTCTTTCTGTACCGTGGTTATTTCTTAAAATGCCAGATAATGTGTTTACCATATCTTAGTTTCAAATTCTATCTTAAGAGCACATTGAGTTGTACATTCAAAATATTGAATGAGGTCGGGCGCGGTGGCTCATGCCTGTATTCCCAGCAATTTGGGAGGTCAAAGCAGGCAGATCACTTGAGGCCAGGAGTTCGAGACCAGCCTGGCCAACATGGTGAAACCCTGTCTCTACTAAAAATACAAAAATTAGCCGAGCGTGGTGGCACATGCCTCTAATCCCAGCTACTTGGGATTTTTAAGAAAAAGAAAAGAAAGGACCTGGAGGCCAGGTACGGGGGACTCATGCCTATTATCCTGGCACTTTGAGAGGATCACTTGAGGCCAGGAGTTCAAGACCAGCCTGCACAAGATGGCAAAAACCCACATATGTGTGTGTGTGTGTGTATGGTGTATATAGTATATATATAGTGTACATAGTATAGTGTACATATATATAGTGTATATAATATATATATTAATACTTTAAGCAACATATAATGAGTGAGGTAATATATTCCTTAAAAAGCAATATGATACATTTTAAAACTCAATAGAAATTCAGACTATCTGCTTCATAGAAACATTTATTTATCCAACACATACTTTATTTTTTTTATTTATTTATTTTTTTAGAGATGGTGTCTTGCTGTGTTGCCTAGGCTGGAGAGAGAGAGAGTGTGTATGTGTGTGTATATATACATATATATATATATATAGAGAGAGAGAGAGAGAGAGAGAGAGAGAGAGTGCACTGAGCTAGGCCCTGAAGATCCAAAGATAAATAAGACATTTTCCTGTCCTTGAGCAAGTCAAAGTCTAATTAGGGGAAACTAGGTCACAGTCAAATGGCAGAACAGAGTTATGATTTGGGTTCAAGAGACAGAGTTCAAAGGACAGAGAACTCTGTGTGGGTCTTGGAGAAGTCTTCACAGAGGAGTAGCAATTCATTAGATAGAGAAGAGGAGGGAGGACATTTCAAGGAGTGAGAGGAAACACTCAGGCAGAGAGGAATGTTCAGGGAACAGAGAGGTTCAGGGTGGCTGAAACTTAGTACTTGCGAGGGTGCAGCAGGAAACAAATTTAGGGAAATTAGACTAAAATCAGATTGTAGTTTTTGGACTTTAGCCTTTGAGCACAATAGGAAACCCAGAGCATAGATTCCTCTGAGTTCTTAAACCTCAAAGGTTGTTTAAACAAGATCATATCTACTTTAGAAAGGTAACCCGAGCAACATCATGCAGAACACATTGATGGTGGATGGAAGACGGACTAGACGCAGGGTCACAGGCCAGGTCACAGATGGCGAGGGTCTAAATGAAAAACGGAGAGTGAAGAGAAGGAGGTAGATTAGAGAAATGACCAGAAGGCTGAAGAAGAGGTTGCTAAGGTTCCCAGTAGAAACCAACAGATGGAGTGTGGCCATGAAAGGCAGTAAGAGGAGTGAGTGAGTGAGTGGAGGCAAGATGAGTGTTCAAAAAGTATGTGTTGGGCCAGGTGTGGTGGCTCATGCCTGTAATTCCAGCACTTTGGGAGGAGGAGGTGGAGGCGGGTGGATCACTTGAGGTCAGGAGTTCGAGACCAGCCTGGCCAATATAGTGAAACCCTGTCTCTCCCAAAAATACAAAAATTAGCCAGGCATGGTGGCAGGTGACTGGAACCCCAGCTACTCAGGAGGCTGAGGCAGAAGAATCGCTTGAACCCAGGAGGCAGAGCTTACAGTGAGCTGAGATCGTGTCACTGCACTCCAGCCTAGGCAACAGAGCAAGACACCATCTCTAAATAAACAAATTAATTAATTAAAATAAAGTATGTGTTGGATAAATAAATGTTTCTATGAAGCAGATAGTCTGAATTTTTGTTGGGTTTTAAAATGTATCATATTGCTTTTTAAGGAATATATTACCTCACTCATTATATGTTGCTTAAAGTATTAAAATCAGTTTGTTTTTTTTCAAATCATTTGCTATAAAGTAGAAGAAACAGCCAAGGTTGTAAAAATAACAATAGAAAATTGGTATGTGGGTAACTGAAAATTTACTACAAATAAATTTTATTTGACAATTAGCAACAACTACTTCACCACACTAATTCGCTATTGTCAAAATATGGCTAGCTGTTAAGTATTTCACTATTTTTTGAATACTTGCTATGTTTAATGAGCTATTTTTCTGCTCAGAGGGGAATGAGAGAATTGTTTTCTTTAAAAAAAAAAAAAAAAGACAGCTAATAAGCTGTTGCTATTACTCTCAGTTATTACTCAGAGACCTTACAATCCACTGAAGAAACCAGTCTTGGAAGCAGATTTTATATAAGAGACAAGGAAGTGCACGTCAAATGAAAGCAAAGTAGGGCGGGAATAAAAAGCAAAGATGAAGTGGGTGTGTGTAGGGGGTGGGAGGTGGAAGACAAATAAGAAAGGCATAAGGTGGTATTTCAGTTGGACCTTTAGGACAAGGAGTTTGCCAGCAAAAGCAACAGAAAAGTGAAAGTGCTTGGCATGTGTTAAGACGGGATATTGGCCCTGTGTGAGTGGAACACCAAGAGTTCATGGAGGGAGAAAGGACTCTGAGGCCAAAAGCGTGAAGATGCTAGAAAGCTTTAAATGTCATGCTCAAAGAGTTTGAACTGTGGAAAAATGATCTACTCTGTTATACATAGGAGAAGAGCAGGTTACACCTAATGGCACCATCTATTTAACTTTGGAATAGACATACTCAGATATCATCAGCCCTGAGCCTGGTTGTATTGCTATCCAGAGAATGGGTATAAACATGTCACGCTGGACGTGGTGGCTCACACCTGTAATCCTAGCACTTTGGGAGGCCAAGGCAGGCAGATCACTTGAGGTCAGGAGTTCAAGACTAGCCTGGC